TATGACTGACATATGGTAACAATAAGTAAAATCACTATAGTTATATGAGTTTTATTCATAAAAAGCAACAATTTTTATTAGCTGTATAATGTCTATTAGAAACTGCCCTTTTAGGACAAAACATTCATTCCCAAAGTAATATTTCTTCTGTAATTTACTTCGGTAAGGCCATACAGTTTTCTGAATCTTTGAAACATGATCTTTTCTGTTCTTACCTTTTAGATACAATGCTCCATTTAAAAAAAATATCCAAAATTGGGTGTATAAATTGTCCACTTCCTCAGATATAATTGAAGAGTGGCTTGTAGTACAGAACCTTTGGGTTTATCTTGAAGCCGTCTTTGTAGGTGGAGATATTGCCAAACAGCTGCCTCAGGTAAATACGTCTTTTATAATTGCTGATAAAATAATTTGGTGTATGTTGTCTATACGTCTCCGTAAAAGTCTTTGCAAAGACGTATGGTCAAGGCTTAGCTATGCCAGGGTTTGGCAAACTATGGCCCACTTGCCTGTTTTTGTAAATAAAGTTTTATTGGAACACAGCCACATCCATTCCTTTATATATTGTCTGTGGCTGCTTTAGCACCGCAACAGCAGAGTTGAGTAGTTGTAACTCAGATTATGTGGCCCAAAAAGTCTGAAATCTTTGATGTCTGGCCCTTTACAGAAAAAGTTTTTTAGAAAGTGTTGACCTCTGATTAGCAGAAAGAAGAAACCCACATAGTTTTAAACAGTGAATAATCTCGAGGTTGTTTGAAGATGTGAGGTACTTTCAAATGCAGTACTATTATAGTAGTTCATCTTTTCTAAGAGTTAACCTCATAATATTCCTCTGAGAGTAGTATTAAAATTAATCTATGTTCTGTAAGCACAGATTAACTTTTGTTAATTCTTAGTAAGTCTACTACTAACAGATCAGAAACATACTGTGGAGCAAGAAAACAGCTTTGGGAGGCTGTAACAAAACCTTTAAAACAGCTCTATTGGGGCCTTTTAAATAAATGCCAATAACTATAATAACTGATAGGTTTAGTCAATGAAGGTAACTTTGCTCTTAGAAAACTAAGCCTGCTCTTCCTAAACTTCCATATTTACAAACAGGATCTATATGGGTTAAAAATGAAGGATAAAAGAGTTTTTTTTTTTTAAATGACTGATTTCCTTTGTACTAATGGCACATTTTTAAAACATTAAACTGAAATATATCATTTTTGTTTTTAATCAGAAGACTGTATTTTTAAAAGAGGAAAGATTATGCCAATTTCTAGAGGCATTTTTGCAACTGAGTGCAAAGCTTAATATCATTCATAGTAAACAGAAAATTTTCACTTGCAAAAATGTAAATGAAACTTTGTTTTGTGGCTTTACCGTCTTTTTTCTTTTTTTCCCCCTGCCCTGGGGTACTATTGAGCTGCAGTTATTCCAAGGATCCTGAGATCAAATTATTTTCATGCTTCTTCAGTTTGCTCATCAAACCAAAACACCTGGGGTGCTGAAACACTAGATTGGAACTTTAAGTTGATAACTCTGCAAATTAATCATGTGGTACTTTGAAAAACATATTAAATGCAATGAAACAAATAAGCAATAAGCCTCATTGTGATAAAGTAGCATTTTAATATGCAGTTTTATAACTTCGGGTTTGTGTCGCTCAGAATTAATTCAAATGAAAAAAAAATTGTCTGTTTAAATTATGCAGCCTGAGACTAATAGAGGCTGGTTTGAAGAACTATAGAAAATTCCAAGGTGAAGACTTTGCTGTTTCTCAATTATCCAAATGCTAATCTTTACTGGCTATGGATTCGTTTTCAGGAAGCAAAACGTTTTCAGAATATTGACAA